CAAGACTGGGGAATTAAGATTTCTTAATAACTAGGTCAGCCAAGAGCAGTTAAGGGAATTACAGAGAGCAAATCGGAATCACTGGTGTTTCCCTGCCGGCCTCCAAACCGCTCGCAGAGCCAAAGTCCACCTACTGGTAATTACTGCTGCTGAAGTTGGGTGTCCCCATGCTGCAAACCTCATCCTTATTAACCACAAAACAGCCCTCGTGGATACCAGCTGGGCCAAGCCAGGACACAGCTGACTGACCACCTCCCTTAATTACTTTCCAGAGCCCCCGCCACCCCCCGTACATTTTACTCATTTAAGTTCTCACCACATACTTCACAACAGTGAGGCGTTCTCTAATAAGCCACATTTGCCAAAAAGCAAACACTTTCTTCATGTTTATCTTTATCACTTATGGTCATCCTTCCCCCCAAATTAATACAACTGAGACCAGAACCAGATGATCCCTGTGGAAGCTCGCCGGGAAAAAGATGCAAGCTCCATATCCTGCAACCACTTTCTCCTTTAGCTCTTGTTGATCAGGCCTTGGCCTGCAGGATATAAGAAAAGTCCAGGGTAAATCAAAATAAACCAGAACAGATGTACCGCTTAGAGAAGTGTTTCCATGCTGAGGTGACAGAGGCTTCGCTCTGTGGTAATCATCGCAGTTCATAATTAGAAAGCAATCCTGCTCAGAACACATTTACTGGGTGTCTGCCCTGAGCCCGGGATTGTGCTCTGGGACAGCGTCCTTGTCTTTGGCAGTTTGCCACCGGGCAGAGAGACTACGATGGCCAGCCTGTCTGCATGGTGGGTGCCTTCTGAGGGTCAGGCTTGTGCAGCCAAGACCAGACGACTTCCCGGAGCAGGCGAGACCCCAGCTGGCTTTAGCAGGGAGAACGGGACTTACACTTGCACATACAGGAAGAGAGACGCAGGCACAGGAAAGACCACATGGGACATCGCGGACATTCTAAAGAGCGGAAACGCCATGTGTGTAGGAAGAGCTGAGAAAAGGGTGCAGGTGAAGATGGGAAGTGGCAGGGGCGGGGCTGGACTGGGTGCAATGATAAGGCCCACCTGAGAAGGTTCTGAGTTCCAGTGTCCCAGGAGACCTCGTGAAGTCCACTGGGCACCCACCTTCCACACGGCCGGGTGGGCCGGGCCGGGGGTGAGGTGCAGCGCTGAGACCCTTCCGGAGGTGTTATCACTCATTCTCTCTCCTTGTTTCTCTCTCTCCCTCGTGGAACAAATGAATAATTAAACTTTAAGGGAAAAAGGAAAGAAAGGGCCAGTCTTGTGGCCTAGTGGTTACGGGAGCTGGGTGCCACATAGCTGACCATAGTTCGAATTTTAGTTCTGGTGGCTTGAAGAAACACATTTGGCACAAGTGTATGTATGGCCCAAATCCCAGCGGGAGGGGAGGGTGAAAGTAAAGGACTGCAGCGTCACCACGCCCCATTGGGGGTGATTTCTCCCTCTCTATCCATCTCTCTGTCTCTCTGCCAAGTGCACCCACCCTCCGGCGATTACAGAAAAGAAGGAAGGTGAAGAGGCCAAGGGCACAAGTTTAGGAAGAGCCTGTGCTTTGAAGCTAAGGCTCAGAGTAGTACCTACGACGTACTAAATACCAAAGTCATGGCAGAGGCTCAGGCTCGGGCTGGTATTTAGGAGGGTCTCACTGGCAGCCTGGAGGAGGCGGGGTTCCAGGCTGGGGCAGAGCAGATGCTGGGGGATTCAGGAGGGGGCTCCAGGGAGAAGTGAGTGCTACAGTCACCGCCACTTACCACGACATGCCCCTCTGTGATCAACTTCTTCCCTAACCCCTGCCCTGCAGACCGCTTGTCTGCTTCTATCCCTATCATTTTTCTTTCTCCAGAAAGTCCCATAGATGGAATCATACACTCAGGAGCGTTCTGAGTCAGACTTCTTTCCCTTCTTTCCCATCTGTGACTCATCCACACTGCAGCCTGCCAGCGGTCCCATCCTTGTACTGCCGAGTAGCAGTCCACTGTATGGACGTGAAACGGTACAGGCTGCATCTTGAGGGGCATTGGTGTTGTTCCCAACTTCTGGCGCTTATAAATAAAAATGCTTTAAATATTCACATACAGCTTTTATGTGAATATGGCTTTCTTTCTTTTTTTTTTTTTAATTGCCAGAGGGCATATATGCTTCCCAGAGAGAGAGGAAAAGAAAGCAGACAGAAATCCTTTGTAATAGCTTGAACTTGGGGTGGGTCAAAACTCTACTTCACTCATTATTATCATTTCTTTCTCTAGAGAATGTGGGCACTCTCTGGAGAGAGACAGCAGGGGGAAGTCGCCCCACTGGGGCGCCATAACACACTCCGTCCTCCATTTCTCCATCTTGTCAGGATTTGGGGCATGCGTGCACAGGCACCTGGTGTGTTTTCAAGCCACCAGGGCCAGGATTTAGACTGCACTTGGCCATGCGGACTCTGACTCCCTCACTCTCTCGGTTCCAGAGCCAGCCCTATCACTTTCTTTGAGCTTGGGCAGGTATCTTAGGGGTAGGATTGCTGGGTTACATGGTGAATGATGTCTATATAAAACCTGCCAAACTCCTCCAAAGAGACTGTCCTATTTTGCATTTCCACCACCTATCTGAGAGTTCCAGGTGCCCTGTTTCCTTTCCAGAACTTTGAATGATCGGTTTGTCATTATTGTTTGGAGACAAAGTACTGAGCGTGTGGCTGTATGTCTCCGTGGTCGTGGGCTCTCTTGATGAATGGTGTTGAGTGTCGACCTGGCTTCTGACTGAAAACACTGGCTGGCACATAACGGGTGCTTAGTAAATACTTGTCGCATAAACACATCTGTGTCATCACCATCATCTTCTTTATTGTCATTGTGTCTGCAAGAAGAGATAAGAAGCCATACCACAGCAGTGACAGTCATGCAGGAGTACTGGGGAGAAGGGATGATCTTGACCATTACAGGGGAGTGCATGAGGCTCTCTGGCTTCTGGACTGGGCAGCTCGGTGGATGTGATGCCTGTGAGCCAGGAATACAGGAGGAGGAGCAGGCAGGGAAGAACAGGGGTCATTCCAGCGCTGATCATGTCAGCCTGAGATGACCAGGGGACAATCATGTGGACAAGCCCCAGAGGCCCTGGGAGAGAACTGGTCCTGTTCATTACTGTGCTCCACTCTGTGCAAACTTAGGAATTAATAGCATGACTTCTTTGGTATGTAACTTTTCTCATTTCTCCTAACGTCCCTATAACAGAAAGCTCTAAATGAGGATATGCCTTTCAGAAGATTGACTCTTCCAAGTTCACAGTGTTAATTAGTAATTTGCTAAGACTTGAACTCATACTTGCTGAGGGCCATTTTTAGCACTTACTGGGAACTAGAAAACATGCCAATTAGAAGCAGGCGCCCCTTCTGGGCAGATGCCACTTCCCGCGGCTGCAGCAGTGCTGAGCCGGATCACACTGCATGCCAAGCGGAACACAGGGTGGCTTTCAGTTCCTCCTCAAACCCTCAGACGAGTGCCCTTGTGCAGGGCATGAGCAGGTCCAGGTGTGACCCCACCTCTGGTGCCAACTCCTGTGCCCTCCCCCACCCCCAGCTATATCATGATGCATCTAATTCTGCTGGTCCACAGAAAGCAGCCGGGTGATTTGGAGCTGAGCCTTCACTTACATATTAATAGAGGTTATTAACTCACTCTGAAGGAAACCTCAACTGACAAACTTCCTCTGGTATAAATACATCAACTCTAAGTTATGTTTGTCCCACTTTGAAAGCGTTTTATGAACAGTATCAATTTTATAATGCCTTTCAAGTGCAAAAATAACAAGCTTGCTAAATAGGATAAAAGAAGAGGCAAGGGGATACAAAGAAATGAAATTTAAGTCTGCACTGATGTATAGGTGTTCATTGTTTATAAATATCACACTGGATGGATAGGCTGCATTTTCTACAGATAGAGGAGCTTTTGCACAGGCATATGTAAGCTAATACGATCATATCTATCGCTAACAAATCGGTATATAAACTCGAACTCTATCACAGTGCAAGAGATCCTTGTCAGTCTCTACCTTCGTACTCCCTCATGTTCGGGGAGGAGGAAGGGAGCCAGGGGTCCAGTTCTGTGTTCACTACTTCCTCCCCAATGTGAGAGAGCGAGTGCGGAGGGACCTGAAGAGCTGACCGACTACACAAGAGGTCTTCAGAAAGCTCGTGGAGATTGTACATTATGGAAAAAATGCATGGATTCCCTTTTACTTTGCACAAAATAAACGTCTACATTATTATATTTTCCTACAAGCTTGTCTCCTCTCACAGAGCTACCAAGGGGTTTAACCCCCACACCAAGGAATCTACCCCAAGACAGCCATGAGTCAGCAGTGCGTATTCTCAAGTGCGGACAAATACAGAGAACCTGCCCGTGTTTCTGTTATACCGCCAGTTCCATATTAAAGTTCCTGTGAGCAGAGTGAAGCAAGAGTCATCATAAAATAATAACAGCTAATGTGAAGGGCTGACTTGTGCCATGCACTATTCTGAAAACTTGGCACATATCAACTCACTCAATCTTCACTACGAGGTTGGTATCATTAGTAATCCCATTTCACAGAGAAGCAAACAGGGGCACAGAGAGGGCAAAGCCACGCCGGGCTGGTGAGTGGCAGAATCTGTACGCCAACCAGAATCCCGACCATCAGCCACCGCAGCTGTCTGCCTCTGTGCTCACAGAGGTACACTTGCTCACATATACCTTGATGTGTTCATATAAAATCATACCTGAGAAAGACGGGAAGATCTATAAAGAATAAGTCCTACCCCCTTGGTGTGCTTTAAAGGAAAGGAGAAGATCTTCATTTCATCTGCCTTGTGGAGGAAAAACTCGGGATGTTAGATATGAAAGATGGCCCTTCCACGAGGCTGAATGCTTCAGGGGAAGAACAACGGCCATCCTCCAGTCAGACAGGCACAAGTGCAAATTCCAGGGGCTCCAGTGACAAAGAGAAACTTAACTCACCCACTGCCAGCTTGCTGCTTCTCATCCATGGATCTGATGTAGCAGGGAGTGGAGGAGCATCGTCCTGAGTGCCCACCTTTGACACACCCCACCATGGACTGGAGCACTTTCTGGGGTCAAGAGCTGTCCCTTGTGTGCCATCGTCCTTCCTTTTCTCTTTCATCAGCATGTCTGACTGGTGCAACCTCTGTAAAATAAGAGGGAACATGTAAAATAAGAGGGAACATCCTGGGCTTTCCTAAATACAGTGTAGGAATGGACCTCATCCTTGAGATGCAGAATGGTACACTCTTATCAGCAAGAGACCCTTCTTTGGACAAGCATGGAGCTTCTCTTTCATCAGCATGTCTGAATGGAGCAACCTCTGTAAAATAAGAGGGAACATCCTGGGCTTTCCTAAATACAGTGTAGGAATGGACCTCATCCTTGAGATGCAGAATGGTACACTCTTATCAGCAAGAGACCCTTCTTTGGACAAGCATGGAGCTGTAGATGAGTAGAATGATCCTGCAGGCTTTCCTTGAACTCTCCAGGCTGGGTGGATGATCAAGTCCACATGGCCCCCTCCTGCCTCTGTCATATACCCCTTGACATAGACAGACATTTCCTCTACATAAAGAACAGGCAGTTTAGTAGCTGCCGAATGTCCTTGGCAAAAGTCTTCCAGCTCATTGCAAAGTCTAAGCACAAGTGATTACCCTGAGGTGAGAGAGCAGGACCCAGGGCTCTAAATAGACCCTGAGTCTCCACCTTCCTCAAACACTCAGGCCTAGGTGAGGTGCCCAGTTGGGAGAGTGGGCGAGAGATTTGTCCACGCACTCACTCTCAGGCCATTCCTCCACCAGCAACGCTGGACCATGTTGAGAAGATTCTCAGCATGAGAGCTGTACAGCCTAAAAGCTCGAGGGGATGGGGAATTGCTGAGTCTGTGTCTGGTGTGTGCTCTCTTCCAGGGTGTAGCACGAGAAATTAACCCTTTCCCCAAAGGTCCTTCCTATCAGGTTTTCTGCATCCAATTAAAACTCTATGAAAGCCAGCCTGCTGTTAGGGCACACTCAACAGAACTCAACAGCCCTCAAGTGGCAAAGGGTGTAATTCCCACTTCTGTCAAAATGCCAGACAAGTGGGTCAGGGCCTGAGCTGTCTGACTCTCACACAGCCACTGCACTCTAATGATTGCCAAGCACAGGGA